GCAACAGCGCCGCGCACCAGATGACAGCACGGCGCCACGCGCCATGTGGGCACGCGCCATGCGGGCGCGCGCTTCCCTGCACTCCGCCGTGCCGCCCAGGAGCCCTCGAAAAAGGCAACAGTGGCGCAGTGCGCACCTCCTCCTCCTCCTCCTCCTCCTCCTCCTCCTCCTCCTCCTCCTCCTCCTCCTCCTCCTCCTAGCCCCCGAACGCGCCGCGCGGTCTCGAATGGCCTGCGCTGCCCGCGCCTCCGCCGTGCCTCCCGCGCGCCCACGGCAAGCGGCGACGCCTGCGCAGCTCCCCCCGCCCCCCGGGGGGGGTGGCGCGAGGCCTGCGCTGCTCTGCACGAGTGCTTGGCATCTCCGAAGGCGCTCCGGTGCGCGAAAAATGCACCGCGCACATCGCGCAAAGAACCTGCGCGACGGAATGCGCTCGGCCATTCGTCCCTGTAGCCCGCGCGGAAGAACAGGAAAACCTGGAAATCTTGAAAACTATCAATATCAATACTTCATGCTCCTCTGAGACTCGGCCGTGCCCCCTCCCCCAGGAGCCCACGAACATGGCGGCAACTGCGCAGCTCGCAGCCCCGAGGGAGCGGCGAGGTCAACACACGACAACTGGCCATCGCTCGGACGTCCATTCCCTGGGCTTTTTTTTCGGTTTCGTGCGTGGTTTTTTCGCCAAATGATCAAGGATGCTCCTCGATGGTCCTCGCCGAAGGAAAAAATGCACACGTCCGAGCGATGCCAGGACAATGGCGGCAGATGCGCAGGTCGCCGCCCCCGAGAGAGCCGCGCGGTCTCGGATGATCTGCGCTGCCCTGCACTCGACCGTGCCCCCCAATCGCCCACGAGGATGGCGGCAATCGCGCAGCTCGCAGCCCCCGAAAGAGCCGCGAAGTCTCAAATGATCCGCGCTACCCTGCACCCAGCCGTGCCTCCAAGAAGCCCACGAACACGGAAACGTTTGCACAATTCGCAGCCCCCGAGGGAGCCGCGTGATCTCAAATAATCTGCGCTGCCTTGAGCTCAGCCGGGGCGACGGTTGCGCAGCTCTCGGCCCCCGAGAGAGCCGCGAGGTCTCAAATGATCTGCGCTGCCCTGCACTCAGCCGTACCTCCCAAGAGCCCACGAAAATGGCGACAATTGCGCAGCTCGACAGAATACCGGAAGGGGTAGGCGGAGGAGGAGGCAGGGAGGGGTAGGAGACAGGAGGAAGGAGACGCGCGAGCAGTGCTCAATTCAAAACAAGAACTCAACACAGGAGGGTGGAGGAAAAACACACAAAGACAATTCCTGGGAAACTTATTAGGGGGGAGGGAGACGGGGACTGAACAGGTGCTCAGATGCTGCTGTCTTATTTCTACAGGGCTCCTCTTTTCTCCTCCTGCTCATCCTGCTGCTGCTGCTGCTGCTGCTGCTCCTCCTCCTCGCACTCCTCGTCGTCCTCCACTTCCTGCTCCCTTCCCTTTTTCTCCGTCTCATTTGGAGTGACATAGAGTTGGAAAAAGAGCACATCATTGTCACCCGTCGGGGTAAATACAGAGGAGTTCGACACTGTTCGGTCGATCTCGTTGTAGAGCCCCACAACGACCGCAAGCTCATCCTAGCTCTTCTCATATCTCTGGGCTCGAGCGGCCGTTTTGAACAATTCTGGGCTCCCTGAGACGCTCTCGACGGGACGGAACTGATGGAGACCAGGCTCGGACACATGCAAAAATGCACAGGAACTGTGGAGGACAGCCGAGATTCCTATTGTTGAGCAGGGACCGGCCGTCCCGGCATTCCTATAGGCCTACCACTACATGCCCTTAGAACCCAACGTTGCTCAAATAACAAAAGCAATGGTCTTAGAACATAAGCCCGATGTGTTAAAATACGACAGTCTCAGCCAGACATGGTCTAGGAGCATGTCGTGCAAACCACATAAGGTTCTTAGAACATTATCTGGTAGGCCTATGGGCGAGCTGGGGTGCTTCGCCACTGCTTGACTAACTATTGCGCCGCCCAGACCCGGAGGATCGAGGAGATTGTTTTTTGAGGGTCCGGCGATCGCCCGAGCTATATTGAAGGGGCCCTGGGACACAAATAAATACACACACACAAACAACAGGATTCCTCATATGTTCTAATTTTTTCCTGGGTTTTTGTCATCCCCCCCACTTCCCATAGTTTCCAATATTTTCCTCGGGATCGACGATTAATTGTGTCTGTGTGTGTTTTTTCCCCTCCTGATATATCGGGCCCGCCTGCCCGGCCGCCCAGCCCCCCCCCCTGCCCCACCCCAGATAACATACTGTGGAGGCCAGTCCACAAGAAACCTTCCACAAGAGACCCAACCCTGAGACCCAACCCAACCCACTTCTCCTCCTCCTCCCCCTCCTCTCCTCCTCCTCTCCTCCTCCCCTCCTCTCCTCCCCTCCGCCACCCCCCCCTCCTCCTCCTCCTCCCCTCCTCCTCCTCCTCCCTCCTCCTCGTCCTCCTGCTCCTCCTCCTCCTCCTCCTCCTCCTCCTCCTCCTCCTCTTCCTCCTCCTCCTCCTCCTCCTCCTCCTCCTCCTCCTCCTCCTCCTCCCGATGGTGCAGTAGGAGCTCGTGCAAGAGACCTTCTGCAAGCAACCCAACCCTGAGGCCCCAGGACATCCGTCGACGCTCGGCGTGGGAACGCCGCGCCCTCCGCGGCAGAACCACCGAAAGCCAGGAAACCCAGGGCACCCATGGAGGCAAGCAGGGTGCTCCCGTTGCAGGCAACAGGCGCAGGCGATCTGGATTGAGCCTGGTGGCCTTGGGTTGCGTCGAGGAGGAGGAGGAGGAAGAGGAGGAGGAGGAGGAGGAGGGGGAGGGGGGGAGGCGGGGGAGGATGGGGAGGAGGAGGAGGAGGAGCAGGAGGAGGAGGAGGAGGAGGACTCCTTGGCATGGGCCTCCGTTGTAACCTTGCCGGCCGCGCGGGGTCGGAAGGGAAGGTGCGCCGCGCGGGTGTGAGAGCGGGCAGGCGCGGGGCTGCCCCCGGAGGCCCAAAAGAACTGGGCCATCGGCCGGCACCCGCCGCGCCGAGACGCATACGACTATCTCCAGGCACCCTCCCTCCCCAGACACGACGACGACGACGACGACGAAACCCTCGTCATCGTCATCGTCGTCGTCGTCATCGTCATCGTCATCGTCGTCGTCGTCGTCATCGTCATCGTCGTCGTCGTCATCGTCGTCGTCGTCATCGTCATCGTCGTTGTCGTCGTCGTCGTCGGTGTCGTGCTTCTTGTTCGCAGCATGCCCCCCCGGGAGGTCTGGACCCCACCTGCCAAGGAATGGCGCTTCAGCCCGAGCCGTCTCCCGGCGCTCCTGGGGGTCGGCCATGGAGGGATCCCTGAGACGGAGACCTGCCAAGAGACTCCCGCCGCGCCTCCTGTGCCACGACGTGATGCTGTCAATGCTCCACTGGGGAACCAGAAGATACCGATGCCGCTAGTCCCCAGACCTCTTTCGGGATGCGTTCTGTCAAGAAGTTCGAGGATTATGCTTCCTCTGTGAAATCAATATGCGCGGATGATGAAGATGGCCAGCTTCCCCAGCGAGGGGAAGGACGCTCCGCCGTTCGAAGCACTGGCCACAGACGAGACAGAAGACGAGCACTCTCCAGCAGACATGTCCTGACATCCGCGACAACGCCCGTTGCCGGCGCCCCGCCCACTTCCACCCGCACCCCGCCCGGTCTCGTCTGAGCAGGGACCGACCGTCCCGGCATTCCTACAGTCATACCACGAGATGTTCTTAGAACCCCAAAATGTTCTAATAAGAAAAACAATGTTCTTAGGACATGAGCCCGATGTGTTAACACAAGACAGTCCCAACCACAATTGTTCTGAGAACACGTCGTGGGTGGCACATAAGGTTCTTAGAACATTGTTAGGTAGGGCTATAGGCACGCCAGGACGCGTCGCCGCTGCTCGTCTCGTCACGGCCCGCGCTTGGCGGCGCCTTGGAATCGGCCACCTGAGCCTTCCAAGCCGGCGCGCCCGCGCGGACCGTGACCGTCCCCGTCTCGCCCCCCCCTGGCCACGCCCATGAGGGAGGGAGGGAGGGAGGGAGGGAGGGAGGAGGAGGAGGAGGGAGGAGGAGGAGGAGGAGGAGGAGGAGGAGGAGGAGGAGGAGGGAGGGGGGGAGGGGAGGAGGGGAGGAGGAGGAGGAGGAGGAGGAGGAGGAGGAGGAGGGGAGGAGGAGGAGGAGGAGGAGAGGATGAGGAGGGAGGAGGAGGAGGAGGAGGAGGAGGAGGAGGAGGAGGAGGAGGAGGAGAGGAGAGGAGGAGGAGGGAGGAGGAGGAGGAGGAGGAGGAGGAGGGAGGGGGGGGGGAAGGAGGGGGGCAATGGGACGCAGCAGGGCACACCGGTGCGGTGTTTCCTCCTCGGAGGCGTGCGCCCGGCCCAAGCACACAATGCAGCCGCCCTGTGGCATGCCGCTTCCCGAGCGGTGCGGCCGGAGGGCGCCCGCGGCGGAGCAGCTGCCGGAAGGTCTCTCGGCGCGCGCGTCGGCCCTCCGAGGGGGCGGTGCACAGACAGTATTTACCAGCCCAGAACATACAGGCCTCGGAACAAATTAGCGAACACATGCCACATTCATCCGTCAACGCCTCCCCTTCCCCCCAATGTTCAAAGTTGACGGTGAGTCTGATGAGTTGCACCTCGACCGCAGTCTCCCCCGCGCGTGCCAACCTTGAGTTTGGGGGGCAGGGGGGGTGTTCACTAATTGTTTCCCTCTACCGTATCCCTATCCCTATGTTGGGCATCGCCTCATAACGATGGCGATCTTAGGGATTCCATCGGTTTCTGAGGGTGCATCGATAAGACTGTCATCCCCTTTTGGCGTGTCAATCTCAGGGATAGGGATAAGTTCGAGGCTGGTGAAGTATTGGTACCTTCGGGTGGCGCCGAGATAAGGAGAACTGTCTCCAGAACGAACAGCGGCAGCGGCATCTCTTCCTCCGCAAGGTCCGCCCCCGCCCCGGGCGCGCCCTCTCGGTGCCCTCCGCCTCCGAGCCGTGGTTCCAGGTCAGCTCGATGCAGCCGGGCACCTCTGCGCCAGCTGGGGGCATCCACGAGGGGGTAACAGGGCATATGTCGACCCCTATCTCAGGCTTCGCAGCGTTTTCGAACGGACCAGCAATTTGGGGCCCAATCCTGGGATGTATGGCTGGGGGGGGCGTCCATCCTCGATAGGGGTGCGTCCGAATTTCAGTCGGACCCAGGAAAAAAGAACACACTCCAAGAGCATGAGACCCACCGCTGGCCAAACTGAAGGTCACACGAGGGTGCCTTCCCCCGGGATGCACAAGAACATCCAACAGACACGAAAAACATTAAGGTTAGGTCGGGCGTACAGGGGGGCGTTGGGTGATTTCTTTTAACTTCAATTATATATATATATATATAAACCCAAAATACCCCCAAATTGTCAAACAATACTCAAAAAAAGTTCCCAGACTATGTTCGAATCATGTTTGAATATTCCTCCTGTAGAGGGACAGGCCCGACTTGACATCAGGGACAGGCCCGACTTATCATCGACTGCAGCCCCCTTGGGGTGCATCCTAGGGTTAAGCCGGGCATGTCCCCCTACAGGAGGCTGATTCAGAGGTAGTCAAAGAATAATCAGGGGACGATTTGTCTGATGATTAGTTGACCATTTGGGGGTATGTTGTATTGGCTATTGTTTAACAAAATGTTCGCCCAAAAACTGCCTGTAGGGGGGACATGCCCGACCCAATCCTAAGGGTCTCCCTCCTTTCCTGCGAGGCGTAATCCTTCGTCGACCAGTCGGGGGGCTGGGCGAGAACGACGTCGCCCGCGAGGGGGGTCGCGAATCCCGGCCCGCCGAGGCGTGTGCGCGGGCGAGGGCGGGGGGCACACGGGGGGTGGGGCGCACGGAGAGGAGAAGCGGGGGACACGAAGTTCGTGTCGGGCGAAAGGGGGGGATAGCAAAGGGGGGGGGGGTGAGAATCAGCTCACGTGGCTGATTTTCCCGGCGCCAGGAGGCGCCCATGTGTCGAGGAATGGGCCCCTCGGTGGGGCCGAAACCAGCTGCATGCAGCGGATTTCGTAACCCCCCCTTTCCTTATCCCCCCCTTTCGTCCGGCCCGAGACGTCCAGGGAGGCGTCATGGCCCCGGCCACGATGCCCGCCCTCGAACGATTCTCGGCGGCGAGCCCGGCGTGGAAGTGAGGAGGGGCGGGCCTCCTCAGAAGGCTCAGAAGTCCCCCGGGCCTTCTGAGAGGCTCTCTACGCCTTCCCCGAAGGCACAGAAACCTTCTCGAAGGCGCGCGGGCTCCTGAAAGATGCCGCCGCCTTCTGAGCATGCCTCCTTCTTCTCAGGTCCCCCCCTCGCTCGCCGCCGATGTTCAGGGTCCCAGAAACGTGTGGTGACGGACCGCGTGGTGACCTCAGACTCCCGATAACGACCTCACCACGCAGTCTGTCCGTCCTCGCACGGTTTTGGGACCTGGGAGGCCCCAACCCCCCCAGACGTCCTCGAAGAACGGACCCAGTCCCAGAAACGTGCGGTGACCCCGAATCCCCACTGACTCGCCACGCAATGTCGTCACCGCACAGTTTGGGGCCTCCCGATTCTGGGAGGCCTCCCAGATGGGGTCCGACAAGGGTCGGAGCATCGCGCCGCATTGGCGATGCATCGCCGCTGCATCGGCCATCCATCGGCGATCCATCGGCAGCAAAAAAAAAAAAAAAACGCGTTTGCAAAAAAACCGCGTTTTTTGCATTTTTTCGGCGTTTCTTTTTTTTTTTGCATCGGTGACGTCGGCCGGGAGAACATCGGGCTCCACTTCGAGCCGCATCTCCGAGGCATCGGCAACGCGGCGCCATCCCCCGACCCCATCAGCTGGAAACCCTTCCTTCAGGTGGGCGACAAAATTCAAAGTACCCCGAAAATGATCAAAAGTAGCCCACAAAAAACATAACACTTACACCAGAGAAAACCCCCAATCAGTGGATGGTCGGATGAGATCGATGGGTGAGATCGATTGAGTGAGATGAATAGTGAGATCGATCATGAGATCGATAATGAATCGTGGGATCGATAAAAAGATCGATAAAGAGATCGACCGGGACCCCAAAAACCCACCGAAATCGGCCCAGAACCAATAACCAGGAACCCGGGAACCCGGAACCAGGAACCCAACCTGCTACCAAAATCGGCGGGAAACTTTCGCCAAATCTTTCAACTTCCGCTAGGGGGCCCTTCAGTGCAAGCACCGATTGGGGAACAAAAATCGTCCCCAGCCTATTTCCTGACGATTTTGGAGCATTCCTCCTGCAGACGGACCTGCCCGACCCTGACCTTCCAGAGTGCTACAAAAACATAGCCCTCCAGACCTATACGCCTATATCTGGACTGCTCAAACCTCGACAGGGAGGGAGACGCCAAGATCCTGGTGCTATGTCTTAGCCCTCGTGGAAGGTCCGGGGGCTCCACCCCACCCGGGAGGCCCAGATCTCTGGGCCGCCGCCGCGGCAGCGGGGGGGGGGCGGGGCGGCAGCGGGGGACCGCTGCGCCCCTGCCCCGTGCGCGCGTGTGTCCCCGAATCAGCGCTAGGGGGTAGCTGTACTGGGAGGCTCTCGTCGGAAGGACTACAGGAGGATCAAGCCCCAACGGGGGGCTGTCACGTCGAAGTGGCCCCCTCGGATTGAGCGGGACTCAGCCCGATGAAGCGGGATTACGCGGCAGTGAGCGGGATTGAGCAGGATTGAGCGGGATGAAGCCGGATTGAGCCGGATTTCGGACCAGGGCAAACTAAGAATTAGACCTCCCAGGAGTTGACTCCGAATCAGTGCTTGCACTGAAGGGTCTCGGCGGAAGTTGCAGGATTTGGAGAGAAATTCCCGCCGATTCTGGTGGCCGGCGGGGCTCCCGGGTTCCCAGTTCCAGGGTTCCTGCAGGGTTACTGGTCCTGGGCCGATTTTGGTGGGTTCCGGGCTCCCAGGTTCCCGGTCGATCTCCTTCTCGATCTCTTGACCGATCCCAGTTCAAACCATCCACCGATTGGGGTTTCCATCTGGTGTATGTGCTTCTTTGTTCTTCTCAAGATGATCCAACATGCTCCGCTGTGGTCCAGAGTTTCGGGCGCTGGGCTCGCCGGGAAAGATGCACACACGTCCGAGCGATGCCAATTATTAGGTCGGGCATGTCCCCCTACAGGTGGATTTTGGCCGAGAAAGGAAAAATAGCCAACATATGCGCAATAATCAAAAAATAATAGAAGAATCGTCCCCAGACTATTTTTTAGACTACTCTTGAATATTCCTCCTGTAGAGGGACACGGCCGCCCGACTTAGCCAGAGCCATGCCCCGCACAGGCCGCAGAACGAAGGCGTGAGCGGGGGGGGCGCGCGGCGGCGGCCTGCATGCAGTACGCGAACTTCTCGGCGTCGTCCACGGGCACCGGGCCAAGGTCCTGCCCGCCCCCGGCCAGCTACTCCAAATCCCTTATTGACCGACCCCCCCCCCCCCGAAAAAACCGGACCGCCCTCCACATGTGACATAATATTCTGGACCGCCCTCTTCGACGGGGCGCCTTGATAAACAAGACCCCCTAAGCTCCAATCCAAAGAAAACGCCCTAATAAACCGGACCCCCCCAGTTACAACAAAACGGCGCCTTAAAACACCGGACCCGGGGAACGATTGATAAGGGATTTGGCGTAAGGCTGAGGGGCAGCGACAGGGGGGGTAGGCTCAGTGGGGGACGCATCGACCTGGCATCGGCGACGCATCGTCGATAGATCGGCGATGTAGGCCCCCGGTAGTGATTCCGCACCTTCCTGGGCGGGGTGGGGCTATGGGGCCCCTATCGGCGATGCATGGGCGAGTGGGGGTCGATGCATCCCCCCTCTATGCCTATCCCCCCTCCCCTATCGTTGCCCCTGGGAGACGAGGATGCGCCAGGGAGCGCCTCGCCCGGGAGCGCCCGAGAGCGCTTGGCAGCGCCCGAGCTCTTCCTGGCCCCCGTGCCCCCCGGCGCTGCTGCTCCTCGCCGTCGCAGCTGGCGCCCGGCCGCGCGACGGCCCCGCGGGTGCCGCCCGCTGCGCTGCCACTCGCTGCATCCTGGACTCGAGCAGGGGATCGACTGCGGAATTGATTGACCCCAAGGTCAGGGCCGAAACTATCGTTCGGTCGGGCACGTCGCCCTACATCGCCGTGACGAAAGTTTCTTTCAGTTTGTCTTTTGGAATGACGCGCTCGTGCGGAGTAGTTCGGAGTAGTTTTACTACAACTACTCCGCGCGCAATCGCATCCCGCTCGATAATCTTATATGGTTTGGCGCGGAGTAGTTTCCGATCCCGTTTTGGGGTAACAGAATTATTACGTCTCCGGGATCGGAAACTACTCTGCCGAATGATCCCAGCATCGTGTCATGTTAGGAATATTGAGAGAGATGGAAGAGATCTTCATCATGGAAAATTGAAGAAACTTCTGTCACGGCCGTGTATACAGGGGGATTTGTGACGAAAAATAAAAATACCCAGAAAGCACCACCAAATGACGAAAAAATGCCCAACAGATCGTCCCCTACTAATTTTCCTATTTTGGAAGATTCCCCCTGTGGAGGGACAGGCCCGATTTAAAACTATCGACGAATAAGTGGAATTTTCGCAGATTACCAAAGTTCCATTTATGCCCCATGGATCCGACAAGGGAAAACCAAGCTTGGGGGACATCAGTTCTGTCGTCGATGCCTTACTCGATGGATGCGACTGGCCGGCGACACGTTCCAGGAGCTCCAGGGCACCACGGCGCCAGAAGGTCTGGCTTTCGGGCAGCAACTCGTGCCTCGAGCAGCTGGCCGGGACACTCCTGGGCTCCACGGCAAAGCCTGGACGAGGCGGAGCTAGGAGGAGGAGGAGGAGGAGGAGGAGGAGGAGGAGGAGGAGGAGGAGGAGAGAGAGGAGGAGGAGGAGGAGGAGGAGGAGGAGAAGGAGGAGGAGGGAGGAGGAGGAGGAGGAGGAGGAGGAGGAGGAGGAGGAGGAGGGGAGGAGGAGCTAGGAGGAGGAGGAGGAGGAGGAGGAGGAGGGAGAAGGGGGGAGGAGGAGGAGGAGGAGGAGGAGGAGGAGGAGGGGAGGAGGAGGAGGAGGAGGAGGAGGAGGAGGAGCTAGGAGGAGGAGGAGGAGGAGGAGGAGGAGGAGGAGGAGGAGGAGGAGGGAGGAGGAGGAGGAGGAGGAGGAGGAGGAGGGGAGGAGGCGGAGGAGGAGGAGGAGGGAGGAGGAGGAGGAGGAGGAGGGGAGGAGGAGGAGGAGGAGGAGGAGGAGGAGGGAAGGAGGAGGAGGAAGAGGAGGAGGAGGAGGAAGAGGAGGAAGAGGAGGAGGAGGAGGAGGAGGAGGAGGAGGAGGAGGAGGAGGAGGAGGGGGGGTGGAGACCACCCTGGGGCCTGAGAGTCCACCGAAACAAAAACAGATCAGACACCGTCGGCCGTGCTCCCTTCACGGCGCGAGGATGTCAGGCCTCCCGCCTCTCGTCGGGCCCGACCCTCAAGACTCCGCGCCCGACGGTTCGGAAGAGAACGATGTCATGATGCGATTGGCTCTGGATCTGTTACAGGAATTCCAGAGTGTCTAGCGACCCTTGGTTCCTGCAACCCGTGTGGAGCACCTAGGACATCTCCGGGAGATCCTGGAAAAGCTGCAGCGCATCATTACCGTGGCCTCTTGCTCCTCGGAAGCGCCGGTTCGGTGAATCGCATCGGATCGGAGCGCATGTCGGATCGGGCCGCGCAGGCAGGGAGTCGGCATCGAATCAGATCGGGCATCGGGCCGCAGCAGATCGTCGGATCACATCCTGGACTGTAGCATCATCACGCTCCTCCGAAGGCCAGCAGCGCGCTCGGTCCTTCTCCGGGGGGTACCCCACGAAGTAGACGGTGAAGCCCCTCCGCTCCGGGCGCTACGGGCGGCCGAGGGACACTCCTCCCCCGACCCTCCCGGGGTGCCGACGAGTACAGGGGCGGCCAGAGGGACACTCCTCCCCCGATCCTCCAGGAGGTGCCAGCGAGTACAGTCGAGTTGGATTGGCAGCGGATTTCTGCGTGGATTGCCGCGTGGATGTCTGCCCGAAGCGGCGAGCGAAAAACGAAGCGGACTTCGCGTGGCGTCTTTTCGGTCTTCATTCATGGCCAACACAAAATCCGCATGAAGTTCACCTCGAAATCCGGAACGAAATTCTCCAGGGAACGTGCCAGTGGACGTGCCAAGGAACGCGCCGCGCGATGTGTGCGACAATGCTGAAAGCGCCGATCGTGATGCACCGTGCCAGAGGCTCTGCTGTGCTGTGCCGTGCTGTCATGAGGCATGCCATGCCGCGATGACTTGCGTCGTGCCCTGCGGTGTTGCCGATCGAGCCGCCCTTGGGTTGCGAACCCTTACCGAACTGGTCCGAACGAATCCTTGCCGAATCCTTCCGAATCCTTACCGAATCCTTGTGATTCCGAGCCCCAGCCGGTACTGCGGATCGAGTCGCCCTCGGACGCCGAATCCTTCCCGAGCTGGCCTGGAGACCAAAAGCTCGAGCCGCTGTCCGCACGACGTCCGCTCTGCGAGGCTCGCGCCACTGGGGGGGGCTAGGGGCGGGCACGGGGCGCCCTGCGCCCCTGACGCGCGGGCACCCCGTGGGGTCTGGCGGGGCCAGCCAGGCAGGGTCTCCCCCAGGGCCGCGGGCGACTCGAGGAGGGGAGGAGGAGGAGGAGGAGGAGGAGGAGGAGGAGGAGGAGGAGGAGGAGGAGGAGGAGGAGGAGGAGGAGGAGGAAGAGGAGGAGGAGGAGGAGGAGGGGAGGAGGAGGAGGAGGAGGTAGGAGGGGGGAAGGAGGAGGAGGAGGAGGAGGAGGAGAAGGGGAAGGAGGAGGAGAAGGAGGAGGAGGAGGAGGAGGGGGAGGAGGAGGAGGAGGAGGAGGAGGGCGAGGCTTCGCTGTGTGAGCTGCTGGCAGGGAGAATCGTTGCGGTGGTTGAGCTCACAGTTGGCTTCCCGCACCGCAGCGAACCATCCGATGAGCTGTTGTCCCGTTGTTGCATGCCACTTGACCCATATGGGGTGGCGGGAACGACGGATGATGTACCAGGCCACCCGTGCTCGTTTTGTTCTCTGTTTGTGCATGATTGTTAACACAACGACACTTCGTCTTCAGGGATGTGCGCAGCAGGAAGGCGAGGAGGATGAGGGCGAGGAAGGGGAGGAGGAGGAGGGGGAGGAGGGGGAGGGGGAGGATGGGGAGGGGGAGGGAGAGGGGGAGGGGGGGGAGGAGAAGGAGGAGGAGGAGGAGGAGGAGGGAGAGGAAGAGGAGGGAGGAGGGAGGAGGGAGGAGAGAGAAGGGAGGAGGAGGGAGAGGAAGAGGAGGGAGGAGGAGGGAGGAGGGAGGAGGAGGGGGAGGAGGAGGTTGAGAAAGAGAAAAGAGGAGGAGGACGGGTCGCCAAAGCCCTTCGGAGAAACCCTCCAGGTCGGCCATAGGTCCTCCGTTCGGTGGTGCATGGAACCGCCCCCCGTACCATCTTGTTGGCTCTTGCGAACCGACGTACCGACGCCGTCTGACGCTCGTCGGCGCTCCTCGACACTAAGTCGACGCTAACCGACTCAAATTGATGCTGAATCGGCGCTATCTCATCGATTTCCAAACGCTCATCGACGCTAATGCACCCTAAAAACGGAATGACGAACATATGCTGCGCTCCCGTGATTTGTACTCGAACCTCCAAACAATGGTTAGGGAAACCAGCAGGTACCGCTACCGCTACTCCCTGGACCTCTCCCGGGGTGCGATCTGACTTGAACTTCGAGGCGAAGCCAGCGGTGGCGACGAGGGTCTCCCGGGAGGCTGAAAAAGAGGAAAACACTGGGGGGGAGGGTAGCGGTATTGCTACTTTCTCCTCCTCTGAGCGGTCGAGGATCGATCCCCGCCTCGGATTTGCAGAGTCGGTCCGTGCGTGGCGTCCGAGCGGCACGAGGGCGCGCGACGTGCTCGGCGATCTGGCAGCGGCGCAGCAAGAGCGGAAAACAGAGGAGCTGGAATACAGTGGAGGCCCTTCCACAAGAGACCTTCCACAAGAAGCCCGACCCTGAGACCCCAAGACGGCCCTTGATTTTTGGTGTGGGAACGTCAAACTCTCCACAGCAAGACCCTCGAAACCAACGAAACCCAGGGCCTCCAGGAGGCGAGCAAAGTGTTGCGTCGCATGGGCCCCCACTGTAACCCGTGGGAGACCTGCTCCACACCAGGATCGGCGGCGCGCTTGGATAGGGGAACTGAGAACGGGGGCGATGCTGCTCGGAAGGCTCGGAAGTCCCCGGGCCTTCTGAAAGGTTCTGCCTTTCTCGAAGACGCAGAAGCTAGGGGCACGAACAATGACATAAACATAAAAACTCGAAGGTCCGCGCGGGGTTCTCGGATCCGCGCTGGACCCCCCCCGCGGCGCCTCCAGCGCCGCCACTGGCGCCCTGGCGCGCACCGCGCGCCAGTGAGGGGGGTCCAGCGCCGAACCAAGAAATCCGCGCGGACCTCAGAGTTCGCATGGTTATGTCATGGTTCGTTCCCCTAGAAACTTCTCAGAAGGCCGGAGGGCTTCTGAGGAGCCCCGCCGCCGTCTAAGAAGGCCTCCTCCTCCTCACTCACCCCCTTCTCTCTTTCTCACTTACCTCCTTCTCACTTACCCCCTTTGCACTGCACCAGGAGCATACGAACCCACCCAGAAATCGGCAAACCCCGAACCTAACCTGACCCAACCCTTGTCGGCACTGCGCCAAAGCTAACCTGACCAAGTAAAGCTGACGTGACCAACGGCTCAGCGACCCCAATGTGTCACGCGCGCGGTGTAGCAAATGATGCGCCAGTGGAGCGACATAGCAACATGCAATGCGACTCTACCAAGCGTATCAGTGATCCCTCTTATGCTCCACAGAGTCTCCTGGCTGGATCTCAGAATATTACTATTGACAAGACGGTGCGACGAATTCTCCCCGATCGAAATATCGGCACAGCGCCACATAGACATATTCCCCCAGCCGGAACTGAGAAGACCATTACTTTGTAGTAGCCGCGACGACAAGAGTCCTAGCCGCCCGCGGTCGGGTGCAGACTTCGAGCGCACGTGGCCGAATTGGGTACAGTAAGCAGGGGAGGAAGCGGAGCGAGACTATCACTGCAAAGAACAACAACCAAACAACCTCCCAGAATATACACGCAGCGCCAAGCAAACATATTGCCCCAGCGAGACATTAAATAGCATCGCAACATAAACACAGCCCACAAACTCCCCAATCCCAATCAATCCACACATCGTCACGCAACCTGATCCCCCAACGAAATCTTAGAACATAACTGCAACAAATCAAAACAAAAACTCACGAAACATTCACCCAATACCATGCATGTAACATCCCCCGGCCAGACCTTTGAATAGAACATTCAAGAACTGGTAATACGAATTTCCGTGAGCAACCACAAACAAACACAATGACTCCCCGTGAACCAAAAAAAAGACGCAGCGCTGCGCAAACGGATTTCCCCAACCGGAAGCTTCAAACACCACTGGAAAAAAAAACGGCACCTCGAAATCCCCTTTCCCAACGTGTCCACGCAGCGCAGCGTAAACATTTTCCCCAAGCATGCGACACAACACATCCCCCCGACAACATCAATGCAACGCAGCGCGCAAACGTTCTTCAGCCAGACCTTCACAACGCATTGCAACAAACGGCAGTACATACTCCCCCCTTCCTACAACATCCACGCAACGCCACGCAGACCGACTCCCCCAGCTGGACCTTAGAATATGAATACAGCCAACGACAAAACGATTGCCCACCATTCCAAAATTCGCGCAGCGCCGCGCGAACATATGCCCCCAGCCATAGGAACCTCATACAATCATTGCAAATAACAACAAGGCTAACTGCCCATCGTAACATATCCACACCGCGCCACGCAAACCGATCTCCCCAAACAGACCTTAGAATACGACTACAACTACAACCAACAACAAAACGAATTCCCCCTTCCCAAACTCTGTCGGCGTCTGGAAGACGCTCTTCCGTTCGTCGTTGCCGTCGTTGTCGTCGTCGTCGTCGTCGTCGTCGTCGACGTCGCCATCGCCGCTCCCCCCCCTCTTTTCCCTGGGCCCTCCTCAAGCGCGCCAGCCAACGCGAAATTAAGCAACAACGTCGTAGTTGAGTCGAACGGGAACCCCTTCCCTTTGATCCCTTCCCTACCAGACGAGGCGGGGGGCGGGTCCGGGGGGGGGGGGATCCTGGAAGGGTCCGGGGGGGGACCCGGGGCAAGTCCCGGGTCAGAATGCCACCCCTCTGGGATTTTCCAGCCCCAATAATCCCAAGAAGACGCTCCAAAACGACCCAAGAGGGCCTCAAGACGCCCCAAGAGACCTCCAAGACGGCCCAAAGGCACCCAAGACGGCTCCAAGAGAGCGCCCAGACGGGGGACCCGAACGGGCACTTCCCAGGAAGCGCCAAGAAGCGCCAAAGACGCCCCCAAGAGACCCGTAAGAGGCCCCCAGTAAGCCCCCGAAGAGGCCCCCGGGAGCCTCCCAACAGGCCCTCAAGTGGCTCCCAAGTGGCCCCAAAACTATCCCCCAAGAGGCTCCCAACAGACCCCAAGAAGTATCTCTGAGGACTCTGACCCACGTCAGCATCGTCGTCGTCGTCGTCGTCGTCGTCGACGTCGTCGTCGTCGTCTTCGTCATTCAGGGCGGGCAGCTAAAATCCTCAAAATATTACTGCAAATCATGACAGCGCAAAATGCCCATCGCAACATATCCACACCGCGCCACGCACACCGATTCCCCCAGCCAAAGGCGCAAGAATGGGGAACATCGAACCCGAGAAATGAGCAAGAACCGCGAAACTACACAGGACAAAAGAAAGACAAAGAAGAGGAGGAAACTGTAGGTAACGGGACGGACCTTGTTACACTCAGTTTCCCCCCAGTTTCTTGCAAAAGGAAAATGAAGAAGGTCCTCATAACGGGACGCCACCTGTTACACTCGATGTCCCTGGAGTTTCTTGCATTCTGCTCTGGCAAAAAAATCCGGAAATAATTGCGATAAGCTGGGTGTAACTGAAGGAAACTGGACGCAAGGCAAATCTGAGTGCAACTGAACAAAACTGCATGTAGGCGAAAAAAGGAATGCACCCGAGGGAGACTGAGCGCACAGGAGAAACTGACCGCACATGAAAAAGAATTACTCTGTGACGTACCCAGCCCATTTGTATCAATGGAAACGAGGAGCTGGCCGAAACTTGCATGGACAATCAACTTGATGTGTAAGCTACTTGGGACACGCGCCTATGGCATGATGCGCAGGAGAACCATACAAGAACGAGTGGCGACAGCTGCAGGCTCGACGAGGACATGGGGAGTCGGGAACGCAGAGCAGGAGAAAAACGTGCGGGAAGCCGAACCATCAGCACGGCAGCAGCAGAGGGAAGGTGACTGCAGGAGGAGAACAAGGACGAAAGCGGCGTCTAATTTGAGTCTGCGGTGGGTACCCACTGTGCTGTGCCCCTCAGCAGCCTCGAAAGTGGCGACAGTTTCACAGATCGCAGCCCCCCAGGGATGGCGAGGTCTAGTTTGAGTCTGCGGTGGGTACCCACTGTGCTGGGCCCCCCAGCAGGCCTCGAAAGTGGCGACAGTTTCACAGATCGCAGCCCCCCAGGGATGGCGAGGTCTAATTTGAATCCGCGGTGGCCCACTGTGCTGGGCCCCCCAGCAGGCCTCGAAAGTGGCGACAGTTTCACAGATCGCAGCCCCCCAGGGATGGCGAGGTCTAATTTGAATCCGCCGTGGGCCACTGTGCTGGGCCCCCCAGCAGGCCTCGAAAGTGGCGACAGTTTCACAGATCGCAGCCCCCCAGGGATGGCGAGGTCTAATTTGAGTCCGCGGTGGGTACCCACTGTGCTGGGCCCCCCAGCAGGCCTCGAAAGTGGCGACAGTTTCACAGATCGCAGCCCCCCAGGGATGGCGAGGTCTAATTTGAGTCCGCGGTGGGTACCCACTGTGCTGGGCCCCCCAGCAGGCCTCGAAAGTGGCGACAGTTTCACAGATCGCAGCCCCCCAGGGATGGCGAGGTCTGATTTGAGTCCGCGGTGGGTACCCACTGTGCTGGGCCCCCCAGCAGCCCTCGAAAGTGGCGACAGTTTCACAGCCCCCAGGGATGGCGAGGTCTAATTTGAGTCCGCGGTGGGTACCCACTGTGCTGGGCCCCCCAGCAGCCCTCGAAAGTGGCGACAGTTTCACAGATCGCAGCCCCCAGGGATGGCGAGGTCTAATTTGAGTCCGCGGTGGGTACCCACTGTGCTGGCCCCCCAGCAGCCCTCGAAAGTGGCGACAGTTTCACAGATCGCAGCCCCCCAGGGATGGCCAGGTCAAAGGCAGGGGGGAAGAGAGGGACGGGAGGGGGTGGGAAGGAAGGAGACGCGCGAGCAGTGCTCTATTCAAAACGAGAACCCAACGCAGGAGGGTTGGGAATAAAGCTGGGGAAACTGAATGTAGCTGAAGGAACTAAATGTAACTGTGTAGCTGAGGGAACCTGAGTGTGACTGAAAGGAATTGAGTGCCACTGGGGGTAACTGGATGTAGAGAACTGGCGCCGTCCGACGCCGCGCGCGGCCACAATGCGCTTGAATTAGAAGTGGATCCATCGATAGCCGGATTCTATCGGAGTTGGATCGAGCCCGACCAGGATGCTAGTCAAAATGGATCCAGCTACACTAGGACCCTATCAGAGCTTGATCGGGCCTCGTGGCCTCGTAGGATTCTATTAGGGGGACGGCAAGCCCACACCCTGTTCGACCCCCCTCTTCGACAAGGCGTCTCCCCCAATTCGAATCGAACCCCCCCTTGGAGGGGGGGAGGGGGGCGTCCCGCGTTTCAGAAAGGCGGGGGGGGGGAGCGGTTCTCCGGTCGCTTCACATGTCTATATAAGAGGAGGGAGGCCGGTTCCGACGTGTCTGGGGATCTGCTTGTTCCAAGCAAGCGTCCACGAAACGCGTTTTGTTGTTTCCTTTGTTTTTGTTTCTGTCTCTCTCTCTCTCTCCGTTTCAGTCATGTATATACACAAACATCACGTTCAGCATCGAAAGACACGCGGTGCGACAGGCGCCCGAGAACATCGAGCCCAACGCGAAATCAGCCTGAGTATCTGGATGTGGTTGACAACAAGAGCTCTGCTCTAGTGGGCGGATAGAACTAATTACCTTTATTGGAGGGATAAGCTGAGAACGGACAACATGGTTCACCTGTGGCAAGTGGGGCGGAAACGCGAGCACTGACAAGCGCTGTGGGGCCACAACTACATCACCGCGCCCATGAGGAGATTGAGAGAAGGGGGCGGAAGACAGGAAGAACGAAACCACCTGTCAAGAATTACCTCCGCCAAACCTCCGGCTTAATTACCCTGCAGTCATCCCTCCCAGCCAACCCTGGCTAGGGTTTATAAACTGTTTCCAAACTGAATAGCAGATTGGAAGAAGGGACATAACAATCAAAACAATGACCAAGACTGAACGTGGAAACGTTGGTGCCCGACTTGGTCTTTGTCCACGTTTGTCATCTCCAACTCGTGGATCATCTTGATGACTTGGCGACGGCTGGCATGGACCATGACCGATACAGGCTTCGACAAGATCCAGCGAAATCTTGGTCGATGGTCATCGTGTCTCTTCCCTCGAATACCCAGACATCCGACGTCGTGTTTTTTTCATAACGTGGCCCCCCAGAGGTCTGGACTCCTTCACTGGGACCTGCGTTTTCATCTTGAATCGTTTTTGATGGTCGTGTGGCCTGGTAAAGGCCTCACGAAGCCCAAACTGGCCGAAAACATTATGTGATGATGTTGCTTGTCACGACGCGAAGAAAAATGTCAGCGTAGATTCTCCCTCAAAGCTGGCATTTGGGAAAGTCCCCGACCGTGATGGGCTGCATCCCGAAGTCCTCAAAACTGGCCGAAAATCCACTGTCGTGATGTTTCCCCGATGCGAAGATATCAGCGTAGGCTCTCCCTCCCAGGCCGCCTGGAGGGAAATCGATCCTCGACCCCCGACCCTCGCCAACCCTCGGCACCCTCGATCCCCAGACATCCCCTCAACCCTCTACTCTCTTCCCTCGAGTATGTTCTCCCTCCCTGGTCGCCACTGGGGAAAGTCTCCGACCGTGATCAACCGCATCCCGAGGACCTCCGTGTAGAAATCCAGCGACCGCTCCGGGTCCTCTCCGGGCGGGAGGGCCGCGGGGTCGGGCAGGCAGCCTCGCGCTCGCTGGGCCCTCTGCTCAAGGGGAGCACAACACAGTACGAACATAGGCTTCGAAGGTTTTCTTGGATCGGCACTCGACCCCCTACTTGGCGCGCGGAGCGCGCCAGGGGTGGCGCTGGAGGTGCCGCCAGAGGGGGGGGGGGGGTGCAAATCATGACCGGCGGCATGTGCGCGGCCCAGCGGGGGGACCAGGGACGTCATGGAATAAGAAGGGGCGCCATGAAACCTGTGGAAACATCATGGCCCCCGCCATGATATCCCCCCCCCCAGCCATCACCCCCCTCTTTGCCGCCCCCGACCTGCTCGAGTCCCAGAAGCCCGTGGCGCTCCCCCGGGAAGCTGGCCACACCCCCCCCCGACAGGCGCGCGGAGACGGCCCTGGGCGGCGCGCCGTGAGGCCGCCCCGCGTGGCGCATCCCTCGGACCTGGCCGTGACAGGATCGTTGGCTCAGGTCGGGCGTGTCCTTCTACAGGCGGGTCTTGGACGAAGCAGAAACAGTAGGCACAGAATGCCCAAAAAGGGTCAACCAAAAATCCAAGAGTCCTCCCCAGACTACGTCTTGACTACTCTTGCACACGCCTCCTGTAGAGGGGCACGCCCGACTTAAGCATTTGGCCGGGCGTTCCCAAACCCCCTCGCGCTGTGAAACAAATCACGACGGGAGGTTTCCCGCTATACTTAAGTCGGGCCTGTCCCTCTACAGGAAGAATATTCAAAAATAGGCCAAAAATAATATGGGGACGACTTGTTTGACCATTTTGGAATTTTGCTTAACTATCAATCCCCTGTGTAGGAGGACACGCCCGACCTAACGCTATGTTCGGCCTCCACGGGCCTGTTCGGCCTCCACGAACCCTTCCCGGATCTCGGGGTCGTCAAGAAACGGCGCAGGGGGAAAAACCGGTGCCAGAGCAGGGGTCCAGATCTCTTGGGGTCGACGTTGCGAACAAAATCATGACGTCGGGGGTCTGGGTTGGCAGGGCCCCTGAGATCCAGGTGTTGTGATTTTTTGGGGTGACCCAGAAGGGGGTCCAGCTGAAAGGGGGTGATGCAATAGATTTCTGGCAAGAGTACTGCGCCGGATAACTGTATTACATTGCATTGCAAGTAATGTAATGCACTCGAACATCCAGCAACACATTTGCGCCCCAGATTGTACTGCACGCGCCAAATGCACTGCAACCCCACAAATCTATAACACCAGATCTATTGCACCACCTCCTTGTCGCTGGACCCCCTGTTGGGTCAACCCGACTTTCCCACGACGGGCGCTTTCGCCCAACTCCGGACCCCAGGGCCCTCACAGATCGATCCGGCGCAAAACATGGCGCACAAAGATGGGGTCTATGGCTCCTGTCGTGATGGTGTGCGATGCTGCATGTCCTTCTGCAACGTCGGATGGCAAGGGAGTGTAGATGGACTTGGTTCAGTGACGTGTACCGAGGGACGCCCCGCCCACCCCATTCCGCTGACTGCAACGGCCGTCCTCCGACGACACTCCAGCAACGGCAGACTTGGTCTAGTGATTCTGGTCAACGTGTGTTCGGCCTCGGGTCCCAATGACGGATTGGTTTCCCTTAACCCGGCCGCGGCAAGTGCACCGGGGGGCGTTGATCCTCACAGTGGCCTCACACGTAGGGTTAGGTCGGGCATGTCCCCCAACAGGCGCATGTTAGACATTGTTTTGTTTTGTGTTGTTTGTTCTATCATTATTGATTTTATTTTCTTTTTTGTTCCATATATATACACACTCAAAAGTGCCCCAACATAATAAAACAAATAATTTCAAACATTGTCTCCAGGCTATTTTGACTACTGTTGAATACTCCTCCTGTAGAGGGACAGGCCCGACTTAAACGTAGGGTCAGAGTAAATGGGGTCGGAGGGTCACTCCGCATCGCCAATGCATCCATCACCGATGCACCGGGGACGCGTCGCCATGAGTCGGCGACGCCGGCGATGCCTCAAGAACGTCGGCGTGGAGAGAACCGGGCTCCGCATCGAGCCGAGTCCACGATGAATCGGAGATGCGGCGCGATCCTCCGACCCCATCTGAGTATCGTTTATCCGATCCCCATCCCCAGCGGCGTGGCCTGGGCCCCACTGGCCGCTTTACCCCCCTGGACGGGGATACAGGCCGTTCCCTTCGGGCTTCGAGGGGTGTGTATCCCCAACTGGGGTGGTAACTTGGTGGGGGTCTCGGAAGGGATGAGGATGGGGATGGGGGTCGGTTCAAGGATACTGAGAAGCTGGCCTTAGGTCGGGCATGTCCCCCTACAGGCGGATTTTGGACGAAACGTAAAAATACAAGAAAATGCCAACAACGAATTAAAACATGATAGAAAAATGGGGATGGGGATGGGGATGGGGATCGGATAAACGATACTGACCATCTGCCCCGATCCCCCTGTGGGAGGCCCAGACCTCACGAGGTGTCGACGTCTACGCGCGTCGGTGCGCCGGAACCCTCCCGCTGGCACCGCAGGAAGCGTAAGCGTACGTCGCCGAGGTGGCCTCGGGATGCCGGGAGGGGCTCCACGATCGAAACACGAGCCGCCGCGGCGTGGAACACGGGCATCGAGGCGTCTGGGCGCACGTCGGCACGACGACGCATGCGGACCCGTGGCGAGGCCTGACAACGTCTGCAGGCGCACTCTGTGGGCTGATAAAGCATGAGCATACAGTCGGGGCCTTGACCTAAGGAACCCAAAATAAGGAACGAGGCCCCTTTGTTCCACAAGTTAAACTTCGATTTCCGATCGAAAACCTAGGAGGGAAACCTGAGGCAAGCTGCGAAGCACTTAAGGAACGCGGAGCCCCTCCCCAACGAAAAGGGTTCCTTCTTCAGGGCCCCGACTGTAATCGAGATGGGTGGGCTGGGTGAACACATATTGGGCTAACACGCGTGCTGAGGATCATCGAGGGGGGGCACGGCGAGGCCAGTCCCCGACTGACGTTGTACGGGGTTTCTGGGCGTGCCAAACATTGGAGGCCAACCTCGAGGATATACATATATATATATATGTATATATATATAGATATATATATATATATATACGTTGGGAAGGCGCCCTTCCTCGAAAAAGGGTCCGCCCACATTGCCCCCCCGGAATGCATCCCTGAGTTTCCCTCCTTCCCCGACCCACGACGTCATGAGTTGTTCGTGACGTGGGCCCCAAGAGGTCTGGACCCCTTCCCCCGGAAACCGACTGTTCATCTTGAATACTTGTTTGACGGTCGCATGGGCTCCTGGAAACCAAAAAAACAGTGAAAACCCTTCCGTCTTGTTTTTGTGCACGACGCGAGGAGGTAAGGGATCTCTGAGCGGTGCAATTTTGGTGAAGGTTCTCAGGGGCTGGAGGCGAAACGTCGCTTACGAGTGGGCTCCCCGCTGCTGGGATCCCCAGCAGGCCGAGAGAACGGCACCGAGCGCGGGACTGAGCGGGCCTCACACTCGGTGGCAACGCATGGGAGCCTCCCATGCAGTCTTGCCGGCTCTTGCGAATCGACGCTGACAGACGCCGGTCGACGCGCTCAGACGCTGAATCGACGCTGATTCGGCGCTGTTCGACGCCAAAGGTGCGCTACCTCCTCGACTACTAGACGCCAGCGCATGCTTAGTGCCCTCCAGAGATGAACAACGAGGACCTGCGAGGCTCCCACGATGCGGGATGTGCTGCGAGAGGTGTCCCTGGCCCACAAGGTGTCCTGAGGCTGCGCTCGAAGGTCCAGATGGCCTCCAGAGCACCCCTGACGAGGTGTAAGTCAGATGGCATCCAGAGCACCCCTGCCTCGAAGGTCCGGATGGCCTCCAGAGCACCCCTGCCTTGAAGGTCCAGACGGCATCCAGAGGGCCCCAGGTCCGGTCGAGTCCGATCGAGCGCGGGGCCCGCGCGCGCCCCACAAGTGGAGAGACGGCACTGGGAAAGCATGCCACGTTACACGCCGCTCTCGAAAAGGAACTTGCCGGCAGGCGCCACCACGGAGCCGGACAGTCCACGAAACCGTCTTCGAAAAGCTCTTAAACCAGACAGTCCACGAAGCCAGACAGTCCACGAAGCCAGACAGTGCACGAAACCAGAAAAGTATGCCACGTTACACAAAGCTGTTAATAAAAAGGAACTTGCCGGCAAGCGCCACCACGGAGCCAGAGAGTCCACGAAGCCGTCTTCGGGAACTGTCAGATCAGAGTCCCGGGGGCGCCCGAATGGCGCGAGCAGCTGGGGACCCTCGGCGGGGACGAACGGGTAGGATAGCAAAGGGCAGGGCAGAGAGTCAGTCACGTAGCTGATCATCGGATATCCGAGCCGCATCTCCAGCGGCGTGGCCTGGGCCCCACTGGCCGATTTACTCCCCTAGATGGGGATATAGGTCGTTCCCTTCGGGTTTCGAGGGGTGCGTCCCCAACTGGGGTGGCAATCTGGTGGGGGTCTCGAAGGGGATGAGGATGGGGATGGGGGTCGGTTCAAGGATACTGAGAAGCTGGTCTTAGGTCGGGCATGTCCCACTACAGGCGGATTTTGGACGAAACGTGAAAATACAAGGAAATGCCAACAACAAATTAAAACATGATAGAAAAATCGTCCCCCCGACTATTTTTTAACTATTTTTGAATATTCCCCCCTGCTGAGGGACACGCCCGACTTAAAAAGCTGGTCTCCGCGACGCCTGCTTCGGCGCTGGGAGGCACGCCCGGCGGCGGGGGCCCCGAAGAAGCCAGCAGCGTGCAGCAGATGTCCTGGCAGCCCTTTCCATGTCCTGCAATCTCTGATCCGGCCCGAGGCACCCTCAGGGTCAGGTCGGGCAGGCCCCCCCACTGGCGGATCTTGGACGAAACAGAAAACATCGAAAGATACCCAAAACATATTCAAACATAGTCCAACCATTGTGCCCATATTATTGGTTGCCTATGTTTGAATAGTCCCCCTGTAGAGGGACACGCGCGACTTAACCT